CCCTACCTGGCTGTCCTTGAAGACCTGGCTCTTTCCCCAGGCCCTGGAATTAGGACGGGTTTTCTGTAGTCATCTTGCATGATCAGACCTGGTTCTTTTTCAGATTTGATTAGTTTTATCATGACATGCTATTTTATTGAGGATTTTTGATGGGTTGCTTTTATTATAAGCCAGCCAGAGTCCCCTGCATTGCGTGGCACTATACATTTGATAGATAAATGAATAAATACATAAATAGCCGCTGAATGCATAAAGCAGCAGATTCTCTCAACTGAACTGTTTGTACCAGTTTGCAAGGGAAGGAAGAATGACCATCCTGATTAAGAAGGGGAAGTGTAATGGAATGCAACGCCATTAGGATGTGAAAAGGGAGCATACAACCATTCTGGGTGAAACGATAGTGGCTTTTGGATGGCTGAACTGGTAGAAATATAATTCCACATTTCAGTGTTTCAGCTGCAGTAGATTTAATGCCAGGCCGGGCTTTGGACTGTTAATGTTCTCAGAACAGATTGGCAGCAGATACAGCATTAGAGTTGTCAAGGGATTAGCAAAATGTGTAATTTAAAAACTAATCTCTTGCTCCAATCTGTTTAATACAGATTTCCCAAGGAGTTGTGTGCAAATTTGATATGGGAAATGCTACTTGGCCCTGCCCTATCAATATGGTTCATACATCTAGAAATGGGGAAGTGACCCCTCTGTTTTAACCCTTTATCTCAACTAAAACACCAATATGCCTACCTGCTGTGTAGCCTCCCAAAATCTCTGCTGAAGCCATTCCAATTTGATTTGCACACCCACCGCTGTGAGAGAACAAAACAAGGAAGGAAGGATTGGAGAGAAAAACCAAGAAGTATTAGAGGGGCCGAAACTGAAATTTTCCATAGAGCTCCTGAAAGAAATCACACCATATCTAAGTGTAAATGACAGGTAAATGCTGAGTCGGATCAGGAAGTGAGAGTCAGGGGTTTAACGAGGGGATGGAAACGGATCTCTCAGCTGCTGTGCTGAAATTCTGACACCTTACTCCCACTAAACACTATCAAGATGTAACAGCCTGCCAAAATACTTTCCCCTTTAATTGATGTATAGACGATTATATAAGCCATCTAATGCAGTTACGATTCATAAATGGAACCTGGGAGGCCTCTTACTCTAAAGATGGAGGATAGTTCTTAACTTTGCTGAAAATTGTACCTGTTTTTGTCCCACTGTTTCATTGGGTCTACAAGATTCTTTTTTAAAAAATTAATTAACTAGCCAATTCAGTTGACTGATTTGCCATACTCTTGTCTTGGGTACTAATATATTACTGATATGAAGCATAGTCTAGCTGGCTTTTCAGGTAAAACATCTCCAGAATGGCTTTTATTTCATCAATAGAAACAAGATAGTCTTTGCCTTGGCTTACATGCTAAGGCAGTGTTTCTCAACTTCTGCAAGTTTAACATGTGTGGACTTCAACTCCCAGAATTCCCCAGCCAGCATGGGTGGCTGGGGAATTCTGGGAGTTGAAGTCCACACATCTTAAACTTGCAGAAGTTGAGAAACACTGCTGTAAGGAATGACCAGATGTCCATGGGGGTAAAAATGGTTGAAGTTCCACCCTTTTTTGTGGACAACGCACATAAGAAATGGGTGGGGTTCTGACTGCACAGCTGTGATGGCCACCTTGACTTTTTTGACATATCAAAAAGAAAAAGGGATGAAGTTAAGCTGTAATTCTGGTAATGATTGGCAGGAATGGAAACAATTTAAGGAGAAGGCAAGCCAAGTATTTCTGTCAGCAGGACAGATGGAATTGCCTTATTAGATACTTGTTGCCAGGAAGCGCTTAGGTTTTAAAGGAAGAGTTTTATAATTCAACCATTTTAAACGTGTGCTATATGCAAAGTAACAATGGAGGGAAGAAGGCCCTGGAGTGGCTTCGTTGCATCAGTTCATGGAGTCCAGTATAAATGCATTGTTATGTCTTCATGTTTTGTAATGTTTTCCAGGGGAGGGGTTAATTTGAAGTGCATGGTTGAAATGTCTTAAATAAATAAAACGGAAATCTCCATTTTATTCTTTACATCCTACAGAAAGCATAAATGAATCCAACTAGGAAGGGTGTTAGTTCCTAACCACAAAGTTGCCATAATGTCACCATAAAAGCTCCTTCCTTTTGCACCTGAGATGCGATGTCACATACCCAAGTACATAAGAGGAAAAGCTTGCATTACACCATACATTTTATTGCTTCCCCATCCCATAGACACCTATGGTCAAAACAGAACTGTTACTGCAAAAATTAAGATTGTGATATAGTTAATGTGTGTCTATGAACAAATGGAATAGGTAGAAACAGGGGAAGGAAAGAGGGAGGGATGTGAGACCCTACTATAGAGCTAATTTAAGGCCTGCCATATTCTCACATTACAGTTTTTACTCAGATGTTAGACCCGTGTCTGCTGTTGTTTGATTAAAAACATGTCAGCAAGTGTGTTTGGGGTGAGTGTTACATAACCTGTAAATGCATCACCACCTTGGCTGGCCTCCTGCTTGTAGCTTTCCTTCAGGAGCTGTCCTGCTGGATCTTCACCGAAGTGGGCATCTTTCCACACAACCTTCACTTGCTCTTCTCCCTTCGCCCAGGAGATCTGGCCTCTCTAGCCAGGCTGTGGAGTGGAGGTCTCATGATGACCCCAGAGCTGAAGAGGCTGGATCCCATGACCCCAAACTGGCTGGCAAACAGGTGTGTGCCCTCAGTTTTTCCAGAGGTAGGATTGGGGTTGGTTGGCTGGTTGTCCGCTGTGCAGGGGTCAATGGCTGTCTCTCCCTTTCCCTCTCCAGACCCTCCTGGCTTTCTTTCAAGCCAAGCAGGAAGAAGCTCGAAGCAGGTAGAGCGCTCTCTTCCCCAGGCAGATCCGTTGCCGGCTGCCGCCTGAGCGCGCGAGGTCTACTCTGCTCCGAAAGGTGGGGGCGGCTAGGAAGGAAGGAAGGAAGGAAGGAAGGAAGGAAGGAAGGAAGGAAGGAAGGAAGGAAGGAAAGGATTCCAGCCACAGGAAAGCACCTGCTGAAGGGGGGGAGCGGGGGCGGGAAATGAGGGTCATTTCGAACAGGCTGGACTTTGAGAGCGGGGACGGCGGGCAAGTGGAGGCTGCTGCCCGTCTGAGTCAGTCCCTTCGCACGGGGTGTGTGCGCGTGTGCATTGCTGTCATCACAGATGTACCCCCAGCTGTCACTCCACCCGTTCGGTCTCTCCTCTCCTCGCCTCCCTCTCTCCTCCCCACTTGGCGCTTTCTCGATCGTTCAGAGGA